TGTCATATGACCACAAGGTGTTTACCGTAAAACTCAAGAAAGAAGATTCCACATTGCGTATTGAACCAAACCACATCACTGTTTTATGAAAGTCTGCTAGCTTAATACGAACAAAGCGAAACGGGTTCATGAAACGAGCCTTGATGTGTATCGCATCAACTGTTTGGCGGATGTATTGTACGACCCCCTAGTGGGGAAGGCCCGCCCACACTAGAAGGAGCAGCACAATGTCCATTTCATTCCATGAAAAAGTCACGACATTCCATAGAACGTATGCTAGCATTGCACATTAACACACGTAAAAAAAAAAAAAAAATGCTAACGCAGCTTGAAAGTCCTCCGTAGTGTGTTGACCTTAACGCGGCACGTTTGATCATAACCGCAGCTCCTGTCAGCCCCCACACCGCTTTGAGATTGATGAGCGGGTTATGCGTCGCCGGAGTCGGCGAGAGAAGACGCGCATTGATTGAAAGCCCCCGATAGTCCCGTCGCGTGGCGTCCCCAACAACATCACTTATTTTGCATTCCGATGCGCCGATTGAGAACTGCTAAACGCGCGCGCCGGTGACAAATGCGGACGGAAAGCGACTCGGACTCAAATGATAACGGCATCCATCTTTGAAAGACGCGGTTCAAATATTTCATCATTGATTCGGAGGCTGCCGAGATGTCGTTTGACCCTGAAGGGATGGAAATGCCATGCGGGGAAACGCTTTCAAGTGAAACGCCTTCGTCATGTGCGCGTGCAGCCATTAAACTGTTAATCCGATGCAGTGTTCCTCAGCCTCTATTGAACCAAAGCACATATTTTACGAGGAGGGGTTAAAAAAAAAAAAAAAAAGCGTCTCATAAAAAGTACCCAATGAAAAAGTCAACTGGAACCAAGCTGGTATGTCTTCATCTTAATATCGGAGCAGTTGTTGTGGAAGCGCATTAAAGTTGTTTCCAGCATTTTTTTGTCCCTTCTCAAAATCTCAAGATATGAATCAGCGAGTCTGCATATTTGTGGGTCGGCATTTGCAAATTCACCTTTTGCGGATTGGACTTTTGAACCTACGACTCGCCTATTTGCCATTTTTTTTACCTCACCTCCGGACATCTCGATGCCACGGAAGTCAGTTGAAGCTACTCAACTTACATCATCATTGCCAAGAGGGAGGGAGGAGGAGAGAGAGGAGAGAGAGAGAGAGAGAGAGAGAGAGAGAGGACCTAGCGAGGTCCATGTTGGGCCTCATGCGTGCAGTCAACTGTGAAAATTTTCTTCCAAAATTAAAATAAAATAATTTTTTTTTTTAAAGGGACAAATCCTGTAAAATAATTTTTCTTACAATGACAAGTTCACATTATTATCAAATGATAACTTGATCCTCATGATATCGCAACTATTCTTGTCATATGACCACAAGGTGTTTACCGTAAAACTCAAGAAAGAAGATTCCACATTGCGTATTGAACCAAACCACATCACTGTTTTATGAAAGTCTGCTAGCTTAATACGAACAAAGCGAAACGGGTTCATGAAACGAGCCTTGATGTGTATCGCATCAACTGTTTGGCGGATGTATTGTACGACCCCCTAGTGGGGAAGGCCCGCCCACACTAGAAGGAGCAGCACAATGTCCATTTCATTCCATGAAAAAGTCACGACATTCCATAGAACGTATGCTAGCATTGCACATTAACACACGTAAAAAAAAAAAAAAAATGCTAACGCAGCTTGAAAGTCCTCCGTAGTGTGTTGACCTTAACGCGGCACGTTTGATCATAACCGCAGCTCCTGTCAGCCCCCACACCGCTTTGAGATTGATGAGCGGGTTATGCGTCGCCGGAGTCGGCGAGAGAAGACGCGCATTGATTGAAAGCCCCCGATAGTCCCGTCGCGTGGCGTCCCCAACAACATCACTTATTTTGCATTCCGATGCGCCGATTGAGAACTGCTAAACGCGCGCGCCGGTGACAAATGCGGACGGAAAGCGACTCGGACTCAAATGATAACGGCATCCATCTTTGAAAGACGCGGTTCAAATATTTCATCATTGATTCGGAGGCTGCCGAGATGTCGTTTGACCCTGAAGGGATGGAAATGCCATGCGGGGAAACGCTTTCAAGTGAAACGCCTTCGTCATGTGCGCGTGCAGCCATTAAACTGTTAATCCGATGCAGTGTTCCTCAGCCTCTATTGAACCAAAGCACATATTTTACGAGGAGGGGTTAAAAAAAAAAAAAAAAGCGTCTCATAAAAAGTACCCAATGAAAAAGTCAACTGGAACCAAGCTGGTATGTCTTCATCTTAATATCGGAGCAGTTGTTGTGGAAGCGCATTAAAGTTGTTTCCAGCATTTTTTTGTCCCTTCTCAAAATCTCAAGATATGAATCAGCGAGTCTGCATATTTGTGGGTCGGCATTTGCAAATTCACCTTTTGCGGATTGGACTTTTGAACCTACGACTCGCCTATTTGCCATTTTTTTTACCTCACCTCCGGACATCTCGATGCCACGGAAGTCAGTTGAAGCTACTCAACTTACATCATCATTGCCAAGAAAATAAGTTGAAGTGAGTTGAGGAACAGCGACAAAAATACGCTTTGTCACCATTTTGTGGCATATCCATGCCGATGGACAATATGAAAGTAAGTTGAGGGACTTCATTTGGACAAACTTAACGCTTGACCGCAATTGTAATGCCGAAGAACTAAGTTGAAGTGCGTTAAGGAGCTTCACTTAGATGCTTTGCTGCCATCTTGTGGTACCTTGGTGAAAGTCTGAACGGGATTAAAGTTGTCATTGCTCAAGATTGAAGTCGTATTTCAATCAATTAGCTAATTGGTGAATTTTAGTGGTCTGCTCACTCTTCAGACTTTTCTAAGAGGATTGAAAGATTTGACATGTAAAGCGCATTTAATTCCAAATGAGACAGCGGGAAGATTTTGAGGTCTGACGGAGGGGTTATAGGCGCGGGGTCAATGATGCAGGTCCGGACCCCCCACCGCTGCGCTCGCCACAGGACAGGAGGGTCCCCGACTCCGCCATATGGAGGTCACGATGCCATATGAAGTGATGGCTTTCATCGAACAATCTCAATGATGAGAAAAATGGAACCATCTATTATATCTCTAAAACATTGATTTGAAATTCTTTTGGCGGAGAGGCTCACTGTGCAGCACCGAACCAAATCTCGAACGGAGCAGCCAGGACTGCTCTCAATGCTAACGTTCACCATTCTTTGCTGATGACATTTTTTTCCTTCTTTGGCAAACACCGAGTGGGACAGAAAAGACGTAAGAGGGAATCGTTGGGGCTGAAAAGATCATTGAGAGCAACATTTTTGTTTTTGTTGCAAAAAAAAAAATAGACGAGCAAAAACGATTCGAGCAACAGTTTTATGTGCTGCACGGCGGAGGATTTCATCCAGCGGACAATGCCGGCCGGCTGTCTTCCGAGTCATGGCTGTATGATTCGACATCGCTGTCAATAACGTGACACTTGCCGCTTATCTACATATTGAGCAAATCATGACTCGGAACGGCTAATCTAAATTGTGGTTTGGTGCAGCGCGCGAATGCTCCCGTAAGCTCTTCAGGAAATGAAGCGCCGATTAAAGTTTGGACCGCCGTTCTTCAGAAGTTGGGTGAACTCGCCGTTAAGACGAGCGACGTCGCCTACGCGGGAAGCGGAGGGCGCGGAGAGCGTGACGAGACATTAAAACATTCCCGATGAAAGGTGTGTCGCCACAGCTTGTCAGTGCCTCACCTACCCTCCCCCCCCCACTACCGCAAGATGAAAGGGGTCTCGGCGTCTTCCGTCGTCGGGGGTTCAAGGATTTGTCGGCTAAGATTCCAACAAACACTTCCACAATAATTACAAGTAGACTTTTCTTCAACGCCACAGGCGAAGGTGAGGAGCCTTTAATTGTCACTTTTTATTAGCCCCCCCCCGACCCCCACCCCAAGGCCGTTATTCTGCGATTAAAAGGCGCGCGTCGGGATCGAGCGGGGGTATTTAGTTCAGGTATTAGTCGGGAAATGAAGGTGTCGTCGTCATGCCAAAGTTCCTCTGACACCTTTTTTTGGAACCACTTTAGGGCTTACCGTTTCCTAAAGCTTCCTTTAAAAGTGCCCGTCTCATCCTTCACAAGTTGGCTTTGCGTCCTTCTCCGAGGAGCAAAACCGCTCAACTGACCGGACAAGTTTCAGTCGGATTACGGCGCCAAAGGGGACATATATTTCTGTTCATGTTTATGAACAAAAGTAAAAAAAAAAAAGTGACCGGCAATCAGTGATTTGAATATTAAAAAAAAAAAAAAAAGTGACCTGCAATCAGTTATTTGAATAAAATTCACATTTTTACCTCCCTCGACGATTTACTTGGTTGGATTTTGACTTCTCTTACAATTACAACTTATTCTCATGAAACCAACTCCCCCCACCCCCCAAAAACAAAACAAACGTCATGCCATTTCTCCGTTTTCTCGCATGAATTTTTTTTTTTCTGACCTCACCAAACGTAATTTTTTTCAGTCGCTGTGCCACTTGATATTTTTGCTTCACTAAATGTCAGTTATCATCATCGAGAGAATCGACTCCTCGGAGGAACTACGATGCTAAGCGACCTAGCAAAACATCCCTTTGAAAAAAACGGAAGCAAATTTGAAAAGCACAAAAAAAAAACAAAACAAACAAACAAACAACAACAAAAAAAAAACAATGAGTGAAGCGACCGGCGAAGGGAGACAAAAAGCATCGCATTAAAAAAAAAAAAAAGGCACAAAAATACATCTAATAGGATTATCACTTGTGTTTGTTTGTCACGGCGGATCAAGGAAAATTGCAGTTACGACTAAAAGAGCTTAGAGGCACGCCGTTATCGGCCCCGCGACTGAATATTTGCATATTTGTTTCAAGCCTTTGAATTCTTCATTTTTAATTGGTCGCTTAATAATCGTGCAAGAAGACAAAAAATGACGTCTGAGTAGGAGGGAATTTTTGGGAGGGGGCGCGGCGGGGGGGAATAGAATAAAAAATAAAACAGCCTGGCAGTCATCAGGAAGGTTGTGGGTTGAGCACTTACGTGTGTCAACAAGAAAAACATTTCATTTTTGTTGAGGTACCTTCTGGGATGTCTGAGGATCTTCTCAAGTGTCCTCGCCTGCCACAACACCGCGCGCAGCCTTCCACCAGCCAGGCGGGATGCCATTTTCTACCTGCAAAAAAAAAAAAAAAAAAGTTTTCATGACCTCAAGTTCGCTGAGAGTAACATTTTAAAAGCCCTAACAAAGAAATTCTGACTATACTTGTCTTCATTTCCACAAGTGCAGATGGAATGTGTTGCCTCATATCGAAGTCACAATGTATTTATTTCGACAAGCGCGTATACAAGGTAACTCAATGTGCTTCACAATGCAAAGTACACCGTTCAAAAGCAAGGTACCGTACCGTGTTTTAGTTGGACAGTATTTCAACATCTGTTGTATTCAGTCACCTGTATATTTAAAAAAACAAAGTTGATCTCAATAGAGTCTGAATTCTGACAACCGACCACATTTTGTCCTACCTCGAAGGTGGTTGGTCTCCGTGGAGACTGCGCGTCTTATTTTTAGGGTTCCTGACATGTCTGACGCATTTGCACGTTGTCGCCGTCATGCGGTACGTAAATAACACAACTTGGGATATGACAGTCGCCGGCTCCGGCTGTGTGTTGACAGGCCTGATCAGGACGTGATGGCAGGCTATGATCGTCAAAAGCCTTTTCGGTGAGTGGCGGGGAAGCCGTCTTATTTTCCCGTTTGCTGATCCTATCATGGTCTTTCTCTCGAGCTCCGCTTAAAAGGTAAAGACGGGGGAAACGGGCTCAATCACAATGGCTAAAAGTTGGAGTTTTACACACACAAACTTTAGGACTGGACAACTTTGGAAGGGAACAATACGAGGATGCTGCACCAACAGCGACTTCCCTTCTCGCCGCCCCATTGTCATCCTCCCGTCACTTTTAGGAGCACCGCCGTGACTGGTGGAGAGGCGTAAATTAAAAGATGTCACACTCCAGATAATGATAGGGGCTTAATTTAGGGTTTATGAAATTATACCCCGCCCCCCCAAAAAATAAAAAAAGATGGAAACTCTGTTGAAAAAGAAGAACGCTGGCGGGATGGTGAGGGATGACAAACAAACATACTTCTATTCTTTTGTTGCACTATGTAGTTATTCTGACGACGAAAAAGTCGCACGTGTAATTAGACAGGCCCAAAACAATGCGATGGTGCATTCCAATACGAGTACACATTCAGTTTAGGTTGCCACCAACGTTGCAGAAAACTATTTACACCGTCTGCAAACCTCTACAGGACTCATGCCATTGAAAGCCATTTTATATATTGATGGTATGGGCGGGGCGTTGGGGGGGTTGATGGTGTGCCGTGATATTTTATCAATACGTGCCTTGGCTGGATAAAGCTATCGTGGGCTTTGAGTTTATAACCAACCAACGAAATGTTGCGGGTCGGGAATCGTGGTCCACCGAGCGAGGACTTCCCGTCCGTGTGGCGTCGCACCTCGAATAAATCCCCCCCTCTGTCTCTCTCCTTCCCGCCCGGTGACAGTAGCGCGACGCCGTCGCCTTTATGCATAATGCGGATGCTCCTCGTGGAGGTCGAATGAAAACTCCCGTCGACATGTGTCAGGAGCTCGCCGCGTCGCCTCGGACTAATGATGGCGCGCCGGCCGGCCCACTGCCCTCAGCATATGCCCACTCCCACGTAAAGTGTGTGCGTGCGCGCGCACGGGGAAGGGTTCGTCATGCTGATTAAAAGTGCCCCCCCCCATTCCCACCCTCACTAACAAAGCCCCTCAGAAAAAGACAGCGGGGAACATGAAGCGGTGTCAGGTCGGCCCGGGTGAGGCCGCCGGATGGGTGTCACCTGAATTTAGCCGCCTAATATGACAGCCGCCTGGTGACGGCTTGTCGGCCGAGTGCCACTTTGCCAGAGTTTGGGGGCCCCATTGTCATGCAAAGCATTTGGACCACACGTGAATGAGGCTCGTCACAGTGTCCGCCGAGGCTGCCGGATGAAACGCGTTTGACATCCCCCCGACCAGGAATAGTTGTGAATAATGAGCAAATGGCAGCAGCGACAGTTGTAACCTATTTATTTTGTATCTCGCGCACACACGCACGCGCACACACACACACACACACACACACACGCGCGCGTCTCAGGGAGGAGGGTGATGTCACCGTCTGCAGTGTGGTCATCCGGAGTCGTCCACAACCTACTTTTCATGTGACACGTCCCGACAATTCATATTTTTTCCAGCATTGCGGCCAGCAGTAACGCACGCACACACACACACACACACACACACACACACACACACACACACACGCGCACACACACACACACACACACGCACACACTTGACACCCGCGAAAAAGTTGAACCTTCAGAAGTCAACACGTTCCAGGTGGATGTTGCCCTTTTCGATTTGTTTTGAGGCCTGTCTCGCTTAGTTACTGTTGCTAAGTCTGTCAAGCTTTCAGAATGGATTTTTTTTTTTTTTTGGTTTTTGTTTGTTTTTTTTGTTCCAAATGGAGCATGAAGACATCCCCATGGAAAACATCCCGTCTTAGGTAAGGGCACAAGCAAACAATAACAATACAGCTTTAAGGAGATAGTGCCTAGGAAAGGATCCATCCATCCATCCGTTATCCGAAGCGCTTTCTCCTCACGAGGAAAACATCCCGTCTTAGGTAAGGGCACAAGCAAACAACAACAATACAGCTTTAAGGAGATAGCGCCGAGGACAGGATCCATCCATCCGTTATCCGAACGTTATCGCCTTACGAGGGCCAATCGCAGCTGACTTGGGGCATTTGGCCGAGTATGACCTCAACTGGTTGCCAGTCGTCAATGAAAAACCGAAA